CCCACGTGACCAGCGGGGGCGGGGCGGTGTCCTGACCGCAGGCTCCTCCGCAGGCGGCCGGGCGCGCAGCATGAAGAAGGCGGAGATGGGCAGGCTCGGCATCTCGCCGGACGAGGACAGCAGCAGCTTCAGTTCCAACAGCGACTTCAGCTTCTCCTACCCCGCCAAGCAGGCCGCGCTGAAGAGGTGCGAGAGCTGGAGGAGGGCGGCCGCGCCCGCAAGGGGAGAAGGGGGTTGGGGGTTTCCGCGGCCCGGTCCTGGCAGGAGCCCCCGGGGCGCACGCATCCTGCCGCCCCGTTTCACCTGGGCGCGCTCTCTCTTTTCAGTCACTATGCAGACGTTGATCCTGAAAACCAGAACTTCTTACTTGAATCGAATTTGGGGAAGAAGAAATATGAAACAGACTTTGTAAGTTGAAAATAATGCTTTGTGTGTCTGCGGCCTTGTGGGCTAAAAGAGTAGTTTTACTTGTAGATGTCGAATCTAACTTGCCCAAAGCTGGTGTTCTCCATTTAATTATTGTCATATGTTTGGTTATCGTTTCCCCTCTGTGTAGCATCCAGGCACTACCTCCTTTGGAATGTCAGTATTTAATCTGAGCAATGCGATTGTGGGCAGTGGAATCCTTGGGCTTTCTTATGCCATGGCTAATACTGGAATTGCTCTGTTTATGTAAGTATGTGTAAGTAGTGAGTCTGCCATGCCGGGCAGTTACTGTGACATAACATATATTTTGGCTCCAGAGGCTGAATTTATAGTTGAAGTCATTGACTTAAAAATTATTTGCATAAAACTTAATGAGAAATCCTCAGTCTCTTTATTTTAGGATATAACTGCATGATATCAAGAAAGCCAATTTGATAGGAAAAAATAGGACGACACTTGAAACTGATAATTAAGCCAAAAGTCTTTTAAGTTAGTGGGAATAATTAATACAAAGTTGTAACAGGAGTTGGGTATTTAAAAAGAGCTGTTGATAGATAAATCCAAGGACTTAGAAATTTTGTCCTGGCAAAATCAGAAGCAAAACATTAAATAATCATAGTATCTCCAAATCAGCTGGGTGACTGGACACAGCCTCCCCAGGGACCTGTGGCTCCTTACAAACAACTAATTTCTTTAAACATAGGAACGTGGAACATGTTTGTTTTAAGAAAAATGCGTCATAATTTTCTGGACATTGAAAAGCAACCCGTTTGTGTTCTTTGGCTTTTAATATTTGTTTCTTTCAGGTCTGTGTGATTGCCACATACTATAGTAAAAAATGAGCTTTTTAATAAATACCTGCTTTTAAATGTTTTTTTCCCTTAGTTGCCCAGTTAGAGTTAGTTGCTCCTCTGCTTTCCAGCACAAATACCATCAGAATAGAATTTTGGAGCTATGGTTCTTAATCACTGTGGGGGTCACTGAGTCTTGGAGTATGTGATAGAAAAATGTGGATTTTCCAGGAAAAAAGTACAGAACAAAACCACATGTAAATTGGAGCATACGTCCTCAGTGTTTGTATCACAGCTGTTCAGTGCCTATGAGCTAAGTGGTCTCTGGAAGATGGTATGATTTCTTGTGCAGTGAGGACATGTAGCATGGAATTGTCCATCGGGGACAGATTTGTTGTAGTCAGCTGACTAGTCTTCTCATGTTATTTTTTCCAGCAAAATAGAATGTTAATGAAAAGAAAAGCAGGCCTTTGCAGAGCTTCACTTTGTGGTGAAGTTTCACGCTGAAATTAAGCCGAGCTTTGCGCATTGGAATCCAGCGTTCAGTCAGCTTGTTTGATTAGCATGAGGCTTCTGAGACCCTTTAAGAATGTGAAGGACCAGGAATTTACGTAGAAAGGACCCTGTAGTTTCAAAGATTTCAGTAAGGAGCATGGATGGCATCACTGTTCGATATTTGGAGCCCTTCCTAGCTTAGTATGAAAACTGGAGGCAGTCTTTACATGCTGCCGGTGTGATTATATAGTGTAGGATTTACATGAGATAAAAACAGCACCCCTTTTAATAAGTGAAACTTCTGGTGTTAGCCCTTGCACTTTTGAAATTATTTGTGCTCTAATAGGTCTGTGTGTTTAATTAACCATTTTCATAATAGTTAAATAATATCGAGTGCTAAAATAAGTTATTAATCCATCAATATTTTACAAGGTATATTTAGAGGTATAGAGGTAAAAGGGCCAAAAGACACGTGGCTGTCCCAATGTGGTTAAACAACTCTGTAGTTAGACCTTATGATGTAGTCAGTCTTGAGGTTGAAAGTGACCTCAAGGGTTATAAAACCCGTAAAGCCTGCATTGTCATTTCATTGTAAGAAAGAAAGGCTGAGTTTGTCAGCACACTTAAAAATTGCTTTTGATTAAAGAACAACTTTGGCCAGTGAGGTGAAGCTGGATTCCACCTCAGACCAGACACCCTCAAACTTCTGGCATTGGAATGGCAGCTGAATGCCATTACCTGTGTTTAGCAGACATCAGTTTCTTTGCCAGACCTTCAGGGTACTGTGCCCCGTGTGCCCATACAGAATCCAAAAAGTGTGACTACTACAGCATTTTCTGTGAGCCTTCCAGATTTTGGTTTTTGTTCCTTTTAATAAGAAGAAATCCTTATTTTTCTTGGCGTGCCTAGGCAGTAGGAAAGCAAAGCTGGAATGAAAGAACCCACACCCTAAAGGAAAACTCAGTGACATTAGGTGACCTTTAGTCCCTCTCTGTCTCTCTCTTTTTTTGCTCTCTTCCATCTAAGTAAGAGGGTGGAGGGGAGAGGACAGCCCAGACAAGGCTGACAGCCTGCTTGTTCTCGCACCGGTGTTGTCTAACTTCGTGACAGTACTGGGTCTGTATTCCACACCATGGGGTGCAATACTGTGGATTGTCACAGTGGTTACTTCTCTGATTTGTGCCCACTTAGTATCTTTAACCCCTTTATAGCCCAGTCCTCTCCGTATCTATACAGCCCAAGTGCTCTCAAGACCTTTCCTGAACCTATTTCAGTTGGATTTCACAAGTACTTTGTAGGCTGGGTTTACGGGCAGGTATTACCACCCTTTTGCAGTTAAAAGGAACTGTTAAAATGCCGAGAAGTGGCAAATGCACAGCTATGAGGCCAGAATCAAATCATGTCTCCTCGCTCCAGCCCAAGTCAGGCATTCCAGGACTCCCTGCACCTTTGGCTTGGTGGGTAGACCCTTGCTCTTGACCAATGTCACAGAGCTGTGACCTGTGGCCTAGCGCAGATTTTTAGTGCCAGGTAAGCATAGATGTTGACACTAACCACGGGAGTGACCGGGTCTTGGGTTTTTTCTGTTTAGCACAAGAAGTATTAGGACAAGTTCCATATTAGTGTTTAAATAACAACCAAAAAGAGTACTTTAAGTAGACCTGTGCTTGTTAATAACCCTGTGCCTTTTATTTCTTTCACCAGAATTCTCTTGACGTTTGTGTCAATATTTTCTCTGTATTCTGTTCATCTCCTTTTAAAGACTGCCAATGAAGGAGGTATGGTAGCATTCTTAATATTTCTAAAACAATTGTGTCTGCTTGATTTTTCTCCCTGTGATAAAATACTTGCTTCATACTTTTGTGTTCTTTAAATTGTAGGGTCTTTATTATATGAACAATTGGGATATAAAGCCTTTGGATTGGTTGGAAAGCTTGCAGCCTCTGGATCAATCACCATGCAGAACATCGGAGGTAAGAGTGCTGTAAAAGGCGATTTGGGTAGGCTTTCTGCTCTTTGTGTAGCACAGAAGGGTGACGCATTTCTTCTGGTGTCACGTGCCGCATTTTGCACTTGTAATGGTGTAATTTTGTTTTCCTCCAGCTATGTCAAGCTACCTCTTCATAGTGAAATATGAGTTACCTTTGGTGATCCAGGCATTAATGAACATTGAAGCTACAACTGGGTAGGTGCTGAGTAAGGTTACTCATAAGAAACGATTACAGTCTACAGTGACTAGATACATTTTATCAAAGTTGGATACAAAGTGATGATCAGTGAATTATTTTTCTGTAAATGTTCCTGTTGAAACTGACCAAGAAGTTCCCCATAAACTGATTGGAACTTTTGAGAACAAAAGGCCAAAGATGGTAGCTAGTCTTAAAACGGAATAACTAATTTGTAACCTGTGTATGAAAACAGGTTTTCTAGAACTTAGATTTTCTTCTGTATATTTACTCTCTTGTTACAGCTGAAGAACATACATCCCAACCTAAGCTAGGACTGAAGCTCTGA